ACTATTCAAAAAACAAAAAACAAAAAAAAACAAGGAATGCCAAAGAAAATATGTTGGGACTAAACATTCATAGAAAATAAAGGCAAATATGAACATTAGCCAAAGAGTCTTCATTTAGATAACTCTCTAACTTGTTCCAAATAGTTGCAGAAGATGCAACAACTGACAAGACAACTGATAGGTTTTTCATTTAGTTCATCTTTTTTGCTTTTGGAATATATCATTGCAATAAAGGACTTTTCTACTTAATAAAGTCTGGAGAGATGGAATTTAAAAAAAGATGTAGGCATCAATTGTCAAACAAAGGGTTCCTTGTTATAGCTGTATTAACTGTATTAACATTAATTCCTCCATTTTTCATATATCCATAATTTTAATGTACAGTACATTCAAATTTAGAATAAAATTTATTCTGAAAGACTTATTAAAGTTTTATTCTATTAGATTTATGAAAATAGAATAAAACTGTAGTGAAGGGGAAAAAAAAAACCCTATGACTGGTACAATCTGCAAAGGTTTCTTTGAGACTACATAAAACATTACAAAGTTGCTCCCCTTTCAAAGTACAGTATAGTGGTTCCTCGGTACTCAACAGCTTCAAAACTCATCAAATTTGGTACTTGACTCATTTTGATGTGGAAACATTATCCCAGTACTCATTGTTTGCTTGGTACTCGATGAGCTGTGATAGGAAAAGGGGAAAGGCCATAGAGAATGGACAGGAAGTCAGCCATGCCAGGAAGGTTACTGACATAGAAAAGAAACAGACAGGAAGTCTATCCTGGCCAAATTAAAGGGTTATGTGGTAAGTCATGTGGTTTGTTTGGCACTCGTCATTTTTAGAACTCGTTGCTCCTCTTTGAACCAATTAACCATGAGAATTGTGGTACCATTGTAGTCTAAAATAGTTTCTCAGTTAAGATACATAGGAAAAAGCCCTTAGAATTAGAGCTGTCAAACTTAAAAGGACATATTTTTTGCTTATTTGTAATTTTTTTTTCTTCCATTTATATGGCTGCCATCTTGGAGACTAAAAGTGAGTGCCTAGTTTCTAAAACTGTAATTGGATGATATAGAGATAAGGACATGAGAACATGTCCCTCAAAAAGTCAAACATCTTTTGCTGCGGGAGATGAATGTAAGTATGAACCCCTTGTTGGCAAAAGTTATTTCTAAGGCCCAGCTAGATATCCAAGACAAGATCCTTTCAGCTGAAAAACTGCAATTGGGTGACACAAATTGCTATAAAAGACAGACCCATGTTTGTTATTAATTAAATTTGGAGCCTCATTTCTGCCCAGAGAAACAATCCTGATAAACAATATCACTCAAAGAGTTTTCAGATGAAATTAATTTAATTTAATTTAATATTTAAATTTATATACCACCCTTCTCCCGAAGGACTCAGGGCGGTGAACAGCCAGAAGTAAAAAACATCAAACACAAAATATAAAAACAATTTTAAAATGAATTAAACAATTTGGCCCGACAGTTAAAATCCCCCATTAAAAATCCAAATTAAAATACACAATTGGAGAGATTAGGCCAGCCCGACTTGACGAAATAAAAAGGTTTTGAGGGCCCGACAGAAAGTACGTAAATCTGGAATCGTTCGTATCTCCGGGGGGAGCTCGTTCCAGAGGGCAAGTGCTCCCCACAGAGAAAGCTGTACCCCTGGGGGCCGCCAGTCAACATTGTTTGGCCGACTGGCGGCCCCCGAAATGCCCTCTTACAAGCCAAAGGCCAAATCTAAGTAATATTTCCATGCAGATTGTTGCTTGTAACTTCCAATATCAGGAAGGGCTTTTCTCTGGATGAAAGTCATGCTTCATTGTTCCAGTTTTCTGGGTCAGGACTTTATCTCACATCAAGCCAGTCATTGTGGTTTCAGGTAAAGATAATCCTTTAACCACCTTCAAAAGAGCAGAAAGCCTATTACTCTATCCCAGTGGGGTGAAAGGAAACCATGGATAATTCTGGCCACATCTGGACTGCTTAAAAACATTACTGATTAATGGACCTTCCTTTTCAGGGGACAATGTCCCCAGTTAGGACAATTTGGATGCCAAAGCATATTTGCCAAAGGGACCAAGAAGGTCTTTGAATCCAGTCTTGATTGAGTTTCATTGGATTCAGTCCAAACCTGAACTTGGGAACTGTTTAATAGAATTGCCTTCTCCTTTGCTATTCTAGAACAAGGAACAAGCAAAGTTGAGTCTATCAGTACCACAATTGCCAGCACTTGAGGGCCTCTCTCGTCAGTTTTATGGAGATACCAGATTGCAGAAGATGCTCAAAAGACCCATGACCTATGTCCTAAAAATATGTCACTCAGCATCACATGTTGGGACAGTGCAGAATCAGCTTCATAATTGCTTCATATTTTAGCATGTAGAGGACATCTTAATCAATAGTAAATAAATAAACAAATAAACAAATAAATAAATAAATAAATAAATAAATAAATAAATAAATAAATAATTTTATTTCTATACCGCCCTTCTCCCGATGGACTCAGAGCAGTGTACAGCCTATTAAAAAACACAAAAACAAACATCAGTTAAAAATAATTAAAATTATTACATAATTCGGCTGAAATTTAAAACCCCAAAAATTTAAAACCCAATTTAAAAATCATTAAATTGATAGCCCGGCTTGGCGGAACAGCAGGGTCTTGAGGGCACAGCAAAATACACGGAGGTCGGAGATCTTGCACATTTCTGGGGGCAGTTCATTCCACAGGGCAGGGGCTCCCACAGAGAAGGCCCTCCCCCTGGGTGTCGCCAGCCGACATAACTTGGCTGATGGCCCCCTGAGGAGACCCTCTCTGTGGGAGCGAACTGGCCGGTGGGAGGCTGTTGGTGGCAGAAGTCAGTCTCGAAGGTACCCGGGTTCTATGCCATGGAGCACTTTAAAGGTGGTGACCAACACCTTGAATTGCACCCGGAAGACCTCTGGGAGCCAGTGCAGTTCGCACAGGAGGGGTGTCACGTGGGCACAAAGCTTTCCATGTGGTCTTAGAAAACTGAGATTTTTACAATCAGGAGGCTGTGAATTTGATCCTAGGTAGAGGCAGATATTTCTCTCTCTGGGCACTATGAGAATATATCTGCTGAACAAAATTCTGCATTGGCGACAGGAAGGGTATCCGGCCAGTAAAAACTCAGCGCCATTCAGTTGCCCAGATTCCACCCCACAAAGGATTATGGGGTCATTAAAAGAAGATGATATTGAATTCTCAATGAAGGTCAACCACCTTGGTGATTAGGTTTAGTCCACTTGAAACAGGCCCTCAGGTTTTAGGAAACAGAGAAAGAATACCTATATTTCTCCTACCTTATTGCCCATGTTTAGCCATGACAGGGTATCCATATTGATAATAAATCTCTGCCTTTCAAAACTCCCAAGTTGCTTGTCAATGGGATCCAAAGTGAAAAGAAGCACCCAACATATGGCATTCAGATCTGTTGTTACATCTCCATTTTGGTCCAAGTACAATTTGGAGTCTAATAGTTATAAATAAAATGGGTATGTTGAAATTAAATATTTCTGGAATGTTTAATATCATTGTATGCTTTATATTGTTAAAATATATCCATCTAGGCAAATGAAAGAGAAAAATGGATTGATAATTGGTTAGTATAAGGTAACGGGTTTTTGTGGATAATGGCATAGTTATATAGATAGATTTGAGGGAAATACTTGATTAAAATATTTAGTTGTGTTAATTGAAAAATAAGATTTGTTAATGATTTGTTTTAATATGTGACCGGAGCAAAAGCTTCGTTTTGAAAAGATGTGTTTTATGTTTTTGTTTTTTTAAAAAAAAAAATTCAAAAAAAAAAAAAAGATTGTCTACTGCCTGTGTGTTTTTTATTTTGGCTCTGAGGTGTTGACCTGACATGGCTTAGGAGAAAGGAGAGTGGAAGGGAGTTTTCATTATGTTAGTTGCCTAGTAACAGAGTAAAGATTCCATTGAGTGACAGTTCACTGCAACAACATTCTGAGGAGTGACAGCAGGGGTGAAATGCTCCTGGTTCGGACCAGCTCAGGCGAGTAGGTAGCGAAGGTGGCAGGCAGTTCAGAGAACCAGTAGCAAAAATCCCTGCCCCCACCCCCTATGCCCATCTGATGATCCAAGCTCTGACGATCCCAGCTGAGTTACCTGCTAATCAGGCAACTCATCTTGGATTGTCAGACCCATTTAAAAGAAAAAAGTTTCTTTTTTTCTCCCCGCCCCACAGCCTCCAGCTTGCTTACCTTAGCTGCTGGTCGCAACACCTGCCTTGCTTCACTTGCTGTAATACCTGCAATCCATTCCATCAGCAAGCAACTGAATCTCCCTGCCTGCAATCAAGCTCATCGGTGAGCAGCGCTATCTGCAACTTTAAGACTTGTGGACTTCAACTCCCAGCAAAGCTGGCTGAGGAATTCTGGGAGTTGAAGTCCACAAGTCTTAAAGTTGCCAAGGTGGGAGACCCCTGTTCTATTGGGTAAGTTTTTCTTTCCCTTTTGGGAGCTTTAAAAAAATTAGTTAATTGGGTTTTTTTTTTTTAGTTGTTCTTTTTTTAGACCTAGCCATTTAAAGTTTAGGAAGTTTTAAATTTAGCTGCTTTTATATAAAAATAAAAATAAAATAAAATAAAATAATATTTGTGCAGCTTTCTGAGATTTAGTGTGTTTCTGTAGTGTTTCACTCTAACTACAAAAACACACAAAATCTCACAAAGTTGTATGTGGAATTTTGTGTGTGTGAAGTCTGAAAGTTGGTTTTTTGAGTTTTTTGTGGCTGTGTGAGGTTCCTGCTTGTTGCAGGGGCCATTTCGGGTCTAGCACAGCTGCTTTTACATTGTGGGTGAGCCAGTTGTGTTGTGTTGTGTTTTGTAGGTTAAAAAAGGGCAAAGGAGTGACATTGACTTGGCCACGCCCACCCAGTCACCTTCCCACCTTCCCACCAAGCCCCGCACACTAATTAAGCCACGCCCACAGAACCGGTAGCAAAAAAATTTAGATTTCACCCTTGAGTGACAGCCCATAGAAGAGACTGGATTCCCTCTCTTCTCTTTGCTGGAAATAACATTTAACTCAAGTATGATCCCTATTCATGAATTTCACTCATGAACCTTACATGCTTGGATTGGCTGACACTTTCATCTTGGACCAACTTTGACCTTGGAACAACTTTAGATGACTCTTTTGCAAGCTCCTCTTTGAAAAACAGACTTGGCAGGCAAGTCCTGGCTTTGTTCCACATTTTTTGGGAAATATTATTAGAAGAAAATTCTGGTTCAAATCCTGATTGGATCTTCCACAGAGCACACAGCACAAATTGCTTGAGGCAAAGACGATGTTTATTTGACATGGTTACATTTATAAAGCAGCTTTTCTATTGTCCCCAGAAATGTTTGAGGATTATGTTGGAATTTAATTTCATTAGTCTTATACTGTTCATATGTTTATTTGCTTCAGTTTTACATAAGCTTAATTTTCACATTGACGCAAAGAAAAAATACAAAAGCACAATAACTACAACAAAAAAATTAAATGTTATGAGTCTAATTAACAATTTCAGTCATTTCCCTACTTTTATCATTAGATGTTCCTTAGTGTTTAGATCTGGCCTTAGGGTAATAATGTAGCACTTTGGGAAGAAGATGCAGCCCAGCAAACCAGCACTGGAGGTCAAGATGGAGAAGACCTGCACAATCACCATGGACTTTCCTTTGGTGCTCAGGTAAGTTGGCAGGAAGGACACCCAGACACTGCAGAAGACCAGCATGCTGAAGGTGATCAGCTTGGCTTCGTTGAAGGCTCCAGGCAGGTTCCTGGCCATGAAAGCTACAGTGAAGCAAATGGCAGCTAGGAAACACATGTAGCCAAGGACAACATAAAACATGGTGACAGAGCCTTCATTGCATTGCAGGATGATCACTCCAAGCTGGGAGTTTAAGTCAGAGTCAGGGAATGGGGGAGAAATTCCCAGCCATAAGACACAGATGAAAATTTGGCCAGCAGAACAAGAAAGGATGATGGAGTTGGCCAAGCTCTTCCGCAACCATCTTCTCACACTGTTCCCTGGTTTTGAGGCTAGGAAAGCCAGTACCACTGTGATCGTTTTGGCCAACACAGAAGACACGGCTATTGAGAAGACAATGCTGAACACTGTTTGTCGGAGAAGACAGGTGGCTTTCCTTGGCTGTCCAATGAAGAGAAATGAGGACAAAAAGCAAAGCAGAAGGGAGACCAGGAGGATGAAGGAGAGGTCCCGGTTGTTGGCTTTGACAATGGGAGTTTCTAGGTATTTAAGGAATATGATTAAAATAAATCCTGTGGTTAGGAACAAGAGTAAGGCGAAAGAGACCAGGATGATGCCCAGATGTTCTTCATAGGACAGGAAGGTTATTCTTTTTGGGATACATTGGACTCTGTCCTCAGTTGGATATTGATCATATGGGCACTTTGTGCATTTTTCAGTATCTGAGAAAACAAAAAGTAATATTTCTTTTATATCTCTTTTCACCTTTCAAGAAAGATCTTCTTTGGATTTCAGATGATACTGACCAAGAATGGCAGGTGCCAATATTCAAAATAGAAATGGGAGCTGGTTGATAATACTAACTGTGACTGTGGGAACATCCCACAACCTTTATACAGTATCATATTGCTACAAAATGCCCCCTCAGAAGGTTCCCTGGATCCCTGCATTAAATACACCATCTTGAGGGCATTGTTGCCCAATGGCGAAACAGTCTAGATATCCAGCCATAGGTTTAGTCACTCTGGTAACTGTTCATACATAATTTAATTTTATTCATAATTGTACCCATCATTTCTATTATGCATTCTTGAAATAATTCACCGTTCTGGTGTTTTTTATTTTGATACACATTTTTATATCCTGTTTCTTCTAATTTTATGTAATCATGCTGTATTCTTTTACACCATACAAAATGAATATAATTGATTAGTGTATTTTTTGGAGTATAAGACGCACCAGAGTATAATACACACCTTAGTTTTTGGGGGGGAAAATAAGAAACAAGCTGATTGGCGGGTGGATCAGCCTCCCAGAATACCCCCAATCAGCTGTTCCCAGAGATGAACTTTAGCAACAGGTTCGTTGGTTGTGAGCTTTGCGCCTTGCTTTTTTTTTTCAGCCTCTGAAATCTCCTTTTAAGAGGCTTTTTTCAGCCTCTGAAACCTCCCTTTAAGAGGCTTTTTTTCAATGGTGCTACATTCGGTGTATAAGACGCACCCAAATTTTCACCCTCTTTTAGTGGGGGAAAGGTACTCTGAAAAATATGATAGTTGGTTTTCTGATTCTGATTTCTCATTCTGATCCCTTTTAATCCCAATAGTGAAAGTAAGGCTTTCTCCCCGCCCCCCTTTTAGAACCACAACTGTATTCCCTTTTTGTTGCTGTTGTAATTGTTGGTATTTCATTACTTAATATCCAAGAAAATAGGAAAGATAAAAAGAAAAGAGAAGTCACAGTAGCAATCCAACAAAGAAAACTATGATAGTGGTTATGCTGAACCTGGGAATCTTAAACTGGGCTATAAACAATATTTGCGTTTAATCCATTATATGAAAAATTAAAGCACTAAAAATAAAAGAGGCAGATAGTTAATAATGATAATTTAATTTATGTTCCTTCTTTCATGCAGATGACCTCTCCCACTTCTTTATGGCAAGTTGGGAGAGGAACATGAGCCAGTCCTGGAGTCTGAGGAAGGCTCTGATGAGTGCTCTGAATCAGAGGCAGAGATGGAGTCAGGGCCGTCTGACAGTTGTCAGCTGCCTTTGGAGTCAGACATCAGTGTGGCTGAAGAACAGCCGGAGCCTGTTCCCAGTATGAGCATGCACAGAGTTGCCAGGAGAAGGGAACAGCTAAGGAACAAGGGTCGACTCAGGAGTAAAGCCACAGATGGATGGTGAATGGCTTCTCCCATAGGGAATAAAGAGGAGCAAAAGGGGAGGGGAGTTTGCAGGAGACAATTAGTTCAATTCATTAGAGTGGAGATCTGTTCCTGACTTCTTGCCAAGTATTCTCTGCTAGAGAGTGACATTTGGAAAATATCGGCCTCGAAGCTCTCCAAGCCTGATAAAGATCTGAAGTTGTGAAATCTCTTAAAAGACTATTGGCTGGGATTTTGCTGGAGAGGAATTCACTTTAAACTAAATAAAAGGGATAAGGAGTTTGCTTCGTGCTTTTGGGAAGCCTAGGTCAGAACAGTATTTCTCTCATCCCTTGAACCCAAACACTCTCCCTCCATGATTCCCTAAATTAGACCTTTCTGCTTAGGGGGTTCTGTGATCTTAATAAAGATTGACTGATTAATGAATTGATTGATTCATATATCTTTTGGGCTGTAATATAAACTTGGTTTTGGGGAGCAAAAGCCATTGATCTGCAAACATTTCTCAATTTCAAAGAATGCAGATGTTCCTAAGAACAGTCAACATGGGAGGACAGTTCCAAACTGACAAGAAAAGAGAAGTTTCCTCTGATGCAAGTGATCTTGCACAATCCACTGTGTCCTTCTATCTCTTCCTACCTCATCCCTCAAGATCTTTTTCTTATCCCTCCCATTATGGAAGAAATTGGGCACCTTGAAAATTAAGAACCACAAAACTATCAACCGTCGACGTGTCTTTTTTAAAATGCACATTGATCAAAACACTCGAGATGAATCTAGCACCCTTTCCTCTGGTGTGACCCACCTTCCTGAGTGGAGATAGTCCCTTCTGGACAAGGAACACAGTCATAGCAGCAAACTGGCTCTCCTTCTCGAGCCCGCTTGAAAAATCCAGGATGACAATTTTCCACACATCTGGACTGAGGCAGAGACTAAGGAAAAAACAAGGAATGCCAAACGAAGTTTGTTAGAAATAATCATCATTGAAAAATGGAGGTAGACATGAATATTAGTCAAGTAGTTGCTTGGGTAAGTAAATAAGAAGGTAAATAATGTAAATAAGAAATTTTGAACTAACTCTCAATGTTGCAGGGGATCTAACTACCGGCATATTTTTCACTTAGTTCCTTCCTCTTGCATCTAGAATATCTCATTGTAATACAGGATACTTCTATTTAATAAATTCTGGAGAGAAGCAATTGAGAAAAGTTTGAAGCATGACGTGACAATTAGTGGTTCCTCCATACGGTTATATTAGCATGCATTCCTCCTTTCTTCATCTATCCATGAGTTTAAAGTATGATGCGTTAGTCATATTAAAGTTTAGAATGAAATTTATTCTGAAAGGTTTGTGAATTTTTTATTTTACTAGATTTATTGAAACAGAATAAAAATGTGATGAAGAAACTTCTGGCCGAGGCTTCCGGTTTGCTCCTCGTCGCTGCCAGACGGTCCCTCGGGACCGCCAGCCCCATCGCCTGTAAAGAGCCGCCTTTACAACGGAAAGGCGGCTCGAAAAACTCCATTTCCATGAGGAAATGCGAGACAGAGCCGGCGAGGGTAGGTAGAGCTCTCTGCGAAGCCCCAAAAGTTTTTTTTTTACTTTTGGGGATGAAGCAGATGAGGCTCCCTTTTTCCCCCCGCCGCCGCTCCGGGCTTTGGGAGACCTCTGCTTTTTTGCAGAGCTAGGCGACGAGAACAAGCCTATTAAAGAAAACTAACAGATCAATTAAAGAGGATGAGAGCTGGACCTGTGACCCTGAATCGCAAGTATTTTCACTTATTTTATAAAAGTTACTGAAGAAGGAAAAAAGAATTTTTAAAATGGCGACTGCCGAGGCTTGAGAAGGGGCTGAAAGGGAAAGTCCTTCCGTCTCCTAAATTACAAAGTAGCGGAATAAATACTCCTGGCTACAATTGAAGATAAAGCTCCACTTTTGTGTTTTCTCTTTCCTGGAGATTTGATATTGATCTTTTTTGGAAAGAAGCGTTTTTTCCCTTCTTTGCTTTTCTTTTCTTTCTTAAAAGAGTTTGTCTGTGTGGAAATATGGCGTTTAGACTTACAAAGCCGGATAAATAAGCAGTGGGGGGGGATTCCCCCATCTACAAATTATATGAACAAGTTCTAAACCTACAGTCTCAGAAAACTGATTTTAATATAATTGAATTTCTCTTGGAGGAGATTGTAAGAAGGGATGAGATTGTGAATCAGAACTTTGAAAAATTTAAGCAGGAAATTAAAGAATTGGTGCAATTAAAGTTTGATATTTTGCAATGAAAGATTTCAAAAGTGACTAATGGTTTCTCAGAAATTATGATCAAGTTGGATACAAATATTAATTTATTAGAGTCTAAAATGGAGGAAATTGAGGATAATTTGGACAATAAAATACAAAAAATTGAAAATGATTTGATAAACACTCAAGACAATAGCTTAGAAGAAAAACCTAAAATGGAAGCTGATCAAAAGACTTGTAATGCAGAAAACATAAAACAACGGATTGAAAAAGAAGTTTTAATGATGCAATATAATTTCACTGAATATGCGATTAGACTGAGAGGATTACAGGAAAATAACAGAGATGACTTAAGGAAAATATCTTCTGAAATTCTGGCTGGGATCTTAAAGGTTCACCCTGAGGAAGTATTTTGTAGGATCGACAGAGTTTATAGAATAAACTCCTGGATTGCAAAGCAAAGGCAACTGCCTAGAGATGTGGTGATTTATTTTACAGATAAAGAAATAAGAAATAATATTGTGCAAAAATCTTTTAATTCTACTTTGCAATTGTTTGGAAGAAAGATTTGGATATACAAAGAGCTACAGCCTAAGATGTTATTGGAAAGAAAGAAATTTGGTTTTTTGGTGACTGAGCTTAAAAAACGAAATATTTTATTTAGGTGGGATGCTCCAGTTGGTATAATATTGAGATATCAAGGAGAAAGATACTAATTAAATACTGTTGAAAAAGCGGAAGAATTTCATCAAAAATTTTTGAAAATGAACTCAACATCTCTATGCACAACACAAGACAAGCAGAAGGAGTTGGAAATAAAGGAAAAAATCGAGTTACAGAGGACTCTGTAGATGAATTGCCTTTGGATTTTTTAGATACCTCAGCTGGATTATCTATAAATAAGAGAGAAGTGGCATCGGATTCTAATGTGATGATTCATCAAGTCACAGACAAGCATGGAAATCAATTAGTTGATACACAACTTATAGAAAAGAAATATGAGTCACAAAAGCAAAACCAACAAGATCAAGTTATAAATCAGAATGAAAATCGATCAGACGACATACAATTTGTAGAAAGGAGATTGGGATGGAGATCAAATCCACAAAAAGCCAAGAAAAAAAGAAATAGATCTCGCAAAAACAAAAATTTCTAAAATAGGCAACAGTGAAGCCAGTTATTTAAAAAATGACTGAATACACGAAAAGATAGGGGAGGCGAAATATTGGTTAATATTATCCTGAGGAGAGTGACAGACCTCTGCAATGCTGTAATCTTGGGATGTGAAAAGGGCCTTAAATTGTTGGACTGGAATTATCTATTTTGGACTTTTTTTTTTTTTTGATAAATATATCATGTTTATGTTGAGCTACATGGCAAGAGAGCTATGCTGGGGCATGCAGAAGATCTGGTCGTTACCCCAATGATGGTGGGAATCAATAATCCTGAAGAAATCCACTATTTCAGATATTATATGGAATACAATTATAATGTCACTCGGGTGGTTGTTTTCTTTTTTTATATACATGAAGATATTTATTATTGATGGGGGCAGATGATAACTGAGGATTTTGAACATTCTGTTGCAATCAGGATGTTATGTTACCCTAATATGGGTGATGGAGTTCACAATCCAGTGGAAAGACACCAAAGAAGACATTATATGGATTATAAGTTTAAAGTCATTGATTTTATTTATATAAGGGAATATTTTTTTAAAATAAGGTGGGCAGAAGAATAAAGATATTAAGAATTGTTACACATGGTAATTTTGTAGGATACTTTGTGGGTGGATACAGGCTAGTTTAATGATTGTTTAGTTTAAGAACAGGGATGTTTCAGAGATGTATTTACAGGAGTGGAGGAAATGGACAGATGTTGAATTAGGATTTATTATATAGTCTTATAGGGGAAGGCTGCTTTGGAATGTTATATTAATATATACAAAAGAGTAAATGTTACAAAAGAGTAAATGTTAAATTTGGATTTATTATATAGTTTTAAAGTGAAAGGTTGTTTCGAAATGTTATATTAATATGTAGATCTATGTATAGGGGAGGAAAAAGGGCAGATTATTATTAAATTGGGAGTCATAACAATATTACTGTGTTAAATCAGAAGTTATTATACAATGTTATAGTAGAATGTTATTTTGAAGTGTATGATAAAAGGGGGAAGTAATAATATTAACAATATTATTAGAAAGTAAGGGTCAGTATTTGGAGGAGGGAGTAAGGGGATGGTAAAATATTATATAATCTGTTATGAATTAGGTTTTTATTTTGAAGAAGTCACAGGGGAGACGGGTGGTGAGGGGGGGTTAGGGAGGAGGGGGGGAGAAAAAAGGGGGAAAATTTGTATTTGAAAATTTTTCAATTAAAAAAAAAGAAAGAAACTTCTGGCCAATGGGATCTGGGAAGGTTTATTCTAGACCACATGTATCATTGTATCATCTTTCTTCTTGTGCCATAATCATCATCGGACATTGGCCAACGTGATCACCAACATCTGATGACGGATATGGCACAAGAAGAAGAAGACATATATCATTGCAAGCCCACCCCCATTTGTAAGTGGACCAGGAGAACCTTCCATTTAAGATATAAAAGAAAACTTTGTCACAGATTAGGGTTGGATTTGGTGCAGTGATTAGAAGGCAGAATTGCAGGCTGACTGCCCACTGCCAGGAACGTGGGTAGTGGCCAAAAGACTTGCATTCTATTTTGCTAATTTTAAGCAAGGAAACAAGACAAGTTGGTGCTATGAGCACCAAAATCCCCAGCACTTGATGTCCCCTTTCAGCAGTTTTATCCAGATACTAGTTTGCACAGGGGACACAAAATAGCCATCATCACCCAGCATCCCAAGTTGGACATGGCTGAATCAATTTAAAACCATGTTTCATATCACGGCATCTAAAGGACACTTTGCCAATTATATTGACGCCTCCTAAAACATTTTTTAAAAATTAGAAGGATTCTACTCCCCAAATTCAATTTTCACTGAAACCTATTTGGTGAATAGGCTTAGCTACTTGAAATGTGCCCTAAGTCTTTGGAAACCAGAGAAAAGACACGAATATTTAATTCACCTTGTTGAGCAACTTTAGTTGTGAAATAGCATCTTGATCGATAGTAAGTCTCTGTCTTTCAAAAACCCCTAGTTGCTCTTTAATGGGATCCTCCCTGG